CGATTCCTCAATGCGAGTCGCTATCCATTAATATTTCCTTTAAAAAAATCCTCGTTGTTTATATGTTCAGTCTATGGTATTCTCTCTATTTGTTAGTAGAATCATATCGCTGTCGTTTCAGTGTCTTCATTATCTGGAAAGAGATTATCTTAATTTCACAGCCATATGTGAGATGAGATATTACATCGGAATAAAAGACTCTATTGGACTGGTGGTGGTGGTGGTGGGGGCTCTAAAAATGTTTTCCCTCTCTTAATAGTTTGCTTAGTTTCTGGAAGGCATCTTCTAAATCTGTCATATTTCACGACGTCTCGTGCTACACTGTTCACGTCCTGTTTTTTTTTTTTTTCCCATTTTGATTTCTTCGTCTCTATTTTATGCCCCATATCCCTTCAGGACGTAGGCGATCATGACCCTCCACAATTTCCTGTCTTTTGTAAGCTTTAGTAAATTATGTTTTTTCACTATCTCTCCTCATCCCTATTCCATCAGGCATTTACACAAACTCGATCTTCTTCTATGTGCCGTGTCCTTTCAGAACGTAGGCGATCATGGCCCTCTCCTTTTCCTGTCTTTTGTAACCGTTAGTATATTTTGTCTTTTAGCTATGTCTCCCCATCCTTGTTCTCCCAAGCACGTTTTTCTTCTTTTTCTATGTGCTGCGTCCCTTCAGGACGTAGGCAATCATGGCCCTCCACAATTTCCTGTTCTTTGTAAGCCTTAGTACATTTTGTCTTTTCGCCATCTCTCTGTTCCATCAAGCATTTACACAAACTCGTTCTTCTTCTATATGCCGCGTCCTTTCAGGACATAGGCGATCATGGCCCTCCACGATTTCCTGTCCTTTGCAACCTTTAATAAATTGTGTCTTTCCTAATCGCTCCTAATCCTTGTTCTGTCAACTATTTGCACAAGCTCATTCTTCTTTTTTCTATGTGCCACGTCTCTTGAAGACGTACGCGATTATAGCTCTCCCCATTTTCCTGTCGTTTGTAACCTTTAGTAAATTTTATCTTTTAGTTATCTCTCCTAATCCTGTTCTGCCACCCATTTGCAGAAGCACGTTTTTCTTCTTTTCCTATGTACCGCATCCCTCCAGGATGTACGCGATCATAGCCCTCCTCAATTTCCTTTTTATAACTCTTAGTAAATTTTATCTTTTCGTTATCTCTCCTTATTCCTGTTCTGCCAGGCATTTACACAAACTCGCTCTTCTTCTATGTGCTGTGCTTTTTCAAGTCTTAGGCGATCGTGGCCCTCCACAATTTCCCGTTGTTTGTAGCTCTTAGTAAATTTTGTCTTTTCGCTATCTCTTCTCATGTTCCATGCCTCTTTCTCTCTTCTCTTTCTGCTTCTATTTGTCCTTTTTGTTTTTATTTTCCTTAAAACGTCGTCATTTCTCACATATTCAGTCTATTGCATTCTCAGCATCCTTCTGTAGAACCATGTTTCTGTTGAGTCAAGTTTCATCTTCACCTGTTAGAATGTCCAGTATTCACTGCCATATTGGAGAAGCCATATTACATAACTGTTCAGTACTCTTTTCTTTGTTTCTAACGAAATTTTTCCCGTTTCTTAATACTTTGCTTAGCTTTTGGACTCCAATGAGCTTTCAAATTTCGGTGTCGCATTTTCAAAGTGAAGTGTGTATTTATGTACGGCAATGCTCCTTCTCGTGTATCTAAAGTTACCTATGATTTTTTTAGCGTAATGGGTTTACGGGGGAGAGAATAAAGGAATGGCCACCATCAAGTCCCGAATCTATGGCCAGTCGTGAAGAAGGTAGCTAAGTAGATGACAGCAAAGCAGGCATATGGGAAGTAATTACAACTACCATGTCAGAAATTCAAACGAGGTAGTCTTTTAACAAAGGGCGGGAAATGTTAACTATTGTTGTGACCAGTATTTACATTAGTCGGACTATTGTCCTCATCTTTGTCGTCATATTGTCACAACGTTTCGGCCGTTGTACGCTCCGGCCTTCTTCAGGTGGTTGGAATTTCGAACTGAACCCTTTATTTCGATCACTGGGGTAGACTGTTCTAGTTCCACGTGCCATGTTTGATGGATGTCAGTTATCAGTTATCTCCTGCTAATTTTCCCTCTGAAAGTTCTCCACTGCCTTAACCAGGTATTGAACTCACCTTCTTTGGGTCTGTCACTGGATCTAACCAACGCTCAAGGACACACGGAACAGTGGATAAAGGCGTTAGGGTGAAATAGGCATAAGCAATTATCCAAAGTAAATTTCCTGCAAAACAGAAATTTCAAATCAGTTACATATCACCCAAATAGTTCAAATATACACATCAAAATCATGTCCGGGTATGAGGGATTCCAGATATGAAGGATTCCGGATATGAGGGATTGCGGATATGAGGGATTCTACTATATTAGTTTAATCTGCATAATGACTTAAGACTGTAGCATTTATGGTAAATCCATTGGCTTTAACAGAACACGTTGAAACTACCTTAAAATGTTACTCAAGCTTTGTTTTGACGTCTAAATTAATCATTTACAATTTGACAAAAGCTGTTGAAAGCAAATTCGAATTATTGAGTTTTATGTGATTTGCATAATAACTGCAGACGCTATGTGAGTGTGTGTGGGAGCAGGAATGAGTAATTGTTTTGTTTAGCCTTTCGTTCTTACTTTTTTTTGAATTACTCACCATCAAGATCTCTAATAACAAGTATGAATAATGTTTTGACTTTCTTAAAACAACCAACTCTTGTGTTACCCAATTCCAAGAACGGAAACCATTTTTTCTTTAATTTTCTTTATTTATTTTACTTTTTATTCTAGAACACACGTTATGATTTGGCATGTGTTCTAACTTAGTTAAAAGAAAAACAAATAAGTGTATATTTTATTAAAGCTCCCATCTACAATGATAAATGGTAATCTGGTTCGTATTTCGTTTTTCCCAGAACATAAAAATGGCCAAACGCAAGCACCAAATCGGGTCTTCCATAAAGTAAAAGAAAACGTAACATAATCATTAGACTTTCTTAATGGAATACAGTCTGTATCAAAAAGTTTTCCTGTTTTTATTTTTTTTTTATTTCATACAAAGCAAGGCGTTAATGCCACTAAGATTCAAGGGGGTCACTTGGAGTGAATTTGTTTGTTTAAAACTTAACGACCCATCGATCAGCAAGAGATCATTTAAGGTCAAACAGTTGTTTTTTGTTTTTCTTTAAATAAGGTTGAAATGCTCTCAAAAAGACTTTCCCTTTCCTTTCCTTCTTTTTCAATGTTGTCTTGCTTTTTTTTTTAATTCACTGTTTTCGGAGGTGCGTTGTTCTTTAGAAATTTCTTACCTGGCAAGTATCAAAGTTTTCCCTTTCATCATCAGACACCAAATTGGAATTATATTTTATTATATAGTCCAACTTTCCTAAGAAAGGTCAAAATCAAATTGGGGTTTGATTTTTCGAAAAGTTCTTTCAAAAGTTCTTTTACTGGGAGTGAAAGAGAATAAAGAAGTGACAATAAAAGAACAGGAACAAGGAAGAGAAAAGATAGCGATTAACGTTGCATTTAATTTTCTGAAGATTGTAGGTAGCAGATATGCAAGAAAATGGAACAGATTTCCAAAGGTTTAAAGTGAGAGAAAAGAAACTATTAGAATAGAACTTGCGGCTACATTTAGCTATTTCAACTGTAAAACGATGAGACCTAATTGCCAATCTAGTAGCGCGCTTAAATTCATTTTTAGTTGAGACATCAAGTAGGAAAGCTTATTACAATAATTGACAAAAAACTACTCATCGATGTAGCTGTTCCTGGTGACCATAACATGGACAAGCTTAAGAAGTGCGCCGATCTCCGGATTGTCGATGACGACGACGATCGCTGCTATTGCTAATGCTACTGCTATTATTATTATTATTATTATTAATATTTCCTTTGATTGCTGTTGTATACAAATTTCCTATCGGGTCTCAACCAGCGAACTCAGGTAAGAAATGTTTTCGTGATGCACTGTTTACATTATTTGGACTATTGTCCTCATCTTTGTCGCCATATTTATTACAACATTTCGGCCGGTTAGAATGTCGAACTGAACCTTTTATTTCGCTCACTGGGGTAGACTGTTCTAGTTCCACGTGCCATGTCTAATGGATGTCAGTTATCAGTTATCTTCTGTTAATTTCCATCTCCAAGTTCTTCAAGTTCTACTGAACTCACACTCTTGGGTCCTGCCACTGGATCTAACTAACGCCTTTATCCACTGTGCCATGTGTTCTTGAGAACATATGTGTATAAATTTCTGACTATTATAAACCTAATGTCTTCAGCAACTATTTTTGCCGGCGCTCATATTGCAATTTTTGCTGTTATCATTTCATGTTTTTACCAGAGCTCATATTTCAATTTTTGTTATTTTCCCTTTTCTTTGGTACTCCTTATTACTGGTTCTAATATTGTATTCATTTCTATGCTTGGTCGGCTCAGGAGATTTTTGTGGCCAAGCATATATGCTGATTCCTTAAGTTTACGAATTTTCCAGTGGTGTTCTTTGTCCATGGTCTCAACCTGATCCCATAGAGGGCCGTTATCTTTTCTCTCCATATGTGGTCAGCCACGCCTGATTTTTCCACTTCCCCTCGTGTTACAGCTTTCTAAAGTTGGCCTGTCTTTCCTTTATATTCTTTCCGAAGCTGCACGGGATAGCGTACACACAGTCTTTAGTCATGTTCTCCTCTATAGGAGGTCTTACCCGGGAGAGATATCTGCGAAGTGTCGTTCGAATGATGTAAATAGTGTACATAATACCTCATCTCAGAAATATAGATACTGATTTCGTGATATTTTCCAGTGATCATTTTACAATGATAAAGCTTTTCGTAATCTGTAAGCTGGACTTGTAAGCACTTTTTTTTATTTCTGTAAGACAGGGGCTACCAGGGACCCTTTTAATGAATCTATCGGAACCTTTTCTAATCAATCCAAGGGCTCCAACAACCTCTGCTATTAATGATGTCCTCTTAACATTGAAACAGCGGTTCCCGTACGATCACCGAAGTTAAGCAGTGTCGAGACTGGTCAGTAACCTTATGGGTGTCAGCTTGGGAATACCTGTTACTGTAAGCTCGGATGTGCGGGTGGTGTAATGGATAATGTCTAGGAATTTCTAATCGGAGAGCTGAGTTCTTATTCCAGCCGGGTTTGTTGTATTCACTTAACTCAAACATACCCTTAGGAAATATATGAATCCACATCTTCTCCCCCAGCTATGGAGTAATTATTAAATACTTGTATCGCTAAACCATTATTTCTCTAAAAATAAAATAAAATTGCGTATAAAATATTTACAATTCGGGATTTAAATAACTCATAGATGTTGATATGCCGCTAAGCAAAACAACGAATCAACATTGATGTAGGTCTTTAGGTTAGGTTTGTATAGACCCAAACGCGCGAAAGGTAACTAAAATAATAGTGACATAAACGGAGGTCAGTGTAATTTTTAAGGTTTCCAATTTGACCTTAATATTATTATTATTTTTTGACATGAGCACGATAATTACAATTACTGCTTGCCTTAATTACATTTTCAATTATAGAATTATCTTTGCCTTAATTACATTATCATCTATAAAATTATCATTGCTTTAATTACATTATCAATTATAAAATTATCATTGCATTAGTTACATTATCATCAATAAAATTATCATTGCCTTGGTTACATTATGTATGTATGTATGTATGTATGTATCTATCTATCTATCTATCTATATATATATATTTTTTAAGCATTTCACCCCAAGCAAGGCGGAAAGCCACTAGGACGCAAGGGGTTACAGAAAATTTGGAGCAAGTTCAGATAGGAGTGATAGAAGAAAGGATGAGGAGAAGGGTAGTGGATAGATCAAGGCAACTGGAGATACAGAGGCTAGTGAGAGAGAGAGAGAGAGAGAGAGAGAGAGAGAGAGAGAGAGAGAGAGTGAGTACCGGGAACCCCTTCCTAAACAAGAAACAAGGAGTAAGCCTCTACTCATGCCCAAGAGAAGGGGGAGGAGTGTTGACCGGGCGGTAGATGTGTGTAAGCAAATATATGGATATAGATTCGACAGTATGAAGAAAAAGATACAGTAAAAACAAACAAAAATCTTAATATGCAATTATGCTGTATTAATGTTAATATAAAGTCAATATGAACTATTTATATGAGAAAATAGTTCAATCGAACTTGTTTAATATTTTAATATTTTGAAATCATCTTCGAATACGTTTTCACAACATCGCTCACGTGACGACGACGTGATCATATTTAAACGGAACGTTGATCTTATATAAAAATTTCAGTTATCTGTTTGGATTAGTCTTGCTCTTATGTCCATCGTCTTTTTCATGTTGAATTTGAATATGTTCTAATGTTAATTATGTTTTATGAATATGTCCTGATGATGGTTTAAGCAGACCAAAACGTCCGACATTGGCATTATATTAACATTAATACAGCATAATTGCATATTAAGATTTTTGTTTGTTTTTACTGTATATTTTTCTTCATATATATATATATATATATATATATATATATATATATATATATATATATAAAAACAGATTTCTAGTATTGCCAAATCTAATCAGACATTTGAGGAATAAAAAATATGGGATCATATTAAACATAAGATACAACAATATCCACGTTTAAAACATAAAATGTAAGGTATCTTTCGAGCGACACATTTTCAAACACAATCGTCGGTAATCTAAAACAAGAAAGTTTTTTTATTAATACCGTAATAAAACAAGATGGTAAGGGGGGGAATTATTTTACCTCAAATCATGTAACCGTTCCCCCAAATAAGGCCAACGTAAACTTCATCTCCCGTTGTACGCAGAGGGCCGGCCTACGTATGTTGATAATAACAGACTCCAAAATGTCGAGGTGGAATCTGTTCCTAGCCCTGTGCAATACCGAAAAGAAATGGGGAGAATACTCAGTCCTACAAACACCAGAATTTAATAGATGTTCACCGATAGCAGAGGCACGCAGCCCGGGACATGTTGGGCGATTCTAACCTCAAGCCTCTGGATAGTTTTGCCCACATAGTCGAGCCCGCATCGACATTTAAATTGATAAATAACTAAATTATTATGGTAGGTAGGCAAAACATCCTCACGGCAGGGGGGGGGCTCTTGGTAGTAAATATGTTCCTGACTGTAACGGCATTATAACACCGTTTAATGGATGAAGAGATCTTATCGGCGTATGTCTGACTCTCAGGACCAATCCAAGGGAGCCTGACATATATAGGACATTTGGAAGGCCCATATTTCTTAATTTCATTGAACTTCCTGATCTTGCGTTCAATGACAGTTTTAATAACTGATTCGGGGTAACCGTTCTTAAGAAACAATTCCTTGATTGTTCTCAATTCGGCCTCGAGTCTACACTCAGAACAAATCTTCAATGCCCTATGGGTAAGACAACTTATAAGGTTAACCTTTCTGGCTCTGGGAGCAAAAGAGTCCCAGGCCAGATAAAGTCCTGTAAATGTGGGCTTCCGGTACACGCTCGTTAAGAAACCCGAGGGAGTTCTCTCCACAAGGACATCAAGAAAAGGTAAACGATTGTTCTCTTCAACCTGCATTGTAAATTTAAGTGCAGGATGGAGATTATTTAATAATGAAAAGAACACTTCCGCTATTGCACTATTAGAAAATGATGCGAACGTATCATCAACATAGCGGAAGTAACAATACGGTTTGTTAACCCTCTCAAATAGTCGCCATTCATGAAAACCAACAAAAATGTTGGCCATCACAGGACCCAAGGGACTACCCATCGCCACCCCGTCGATTTGCTGCTACATGCAATTGTCAAAACTGAAGGAGACAGACTTGGTCGCTATCCCCAACAATTCAACAAACACACTCTCAGGAAACAACGGAGATTTACCAGGGCCACGATACAAGAAGTCCGCAAAAATGTCAATAGTTTCATCAATTGGAACATTCGTGAACAAACTATTTATATCAAACGACACAAAATACTCAGTGTCGCTGTTTGGATTTAAATTTGATTTCCTGTCTCCTTTTTCCTACTTCTCTTTCCTGTCTCCATTTTCCTACTTCTCTTTCCTGTCTCCTTTTTACTACTTCTTTTTCCTGTCTCCTTTTTCCTACTTCTCTTTCCTGTCTCCTTTTTCCTACTTCTCTTTCCTGTCTCCTTTTTCCTACATCCTAATCAACAAACTTAAACGAGTCAGGCACACAATACTCCGAGTAGAATTCTAAAACCGGATCAAGAACATCCAATAACCACTTGGCAAGATTATGTTGGGCGGAACCTAACATAGATAAAATTGGCCTAAGTGGAACGCCCTCTTTGTGAATTTTTGGTAACCCATACATCCTAGGACGTTGGGAACATAAAGAATATATATATATACAACGATCGCTCACATACATGGACGCACACTCATATACGGGAGACACGAGGAGATATATATATATGTGTATGTACACATACATACATTTATGTATGTATATGCGGATGTTGACAACTTAAGAAGTACGTGTGTGTGCGTGTGTATGTATGTATGTGTGTGTGTGTGTGTGTGTGTGTGTACTGGTTCCATGTAGCTTGGGAAATATGTGTGTATATGTGTGTGTGTACTGACTACTTGTGGTGGGATAGTGTGTATGTGCGTATGTGTGTGTATGCGTGTATAAGTACAAATAAGTTTACGAATTCCTCGTAGTAAGGAAATATACGCACGCATATATACACGCATGCTGACAGGAACACGCCAAAATAGAAACAGATCCAAGATCACATAGAGGTCACTAAAACATTAAAAGATTAAATGCCGATAACTACTCGCTGGACAAACCTTAATTGTTTTATGACCCTTCACGCAGAACTCTTCATTGACAATTCTAGAAAGAAAATTCGGATTGCCAACACACAAACAGAATGTCTCATATCGAGAATATTCCACATTGAACATGAAGAAAAATTAATTATTTTTAATAATATGTAAAAATCTCCACTTTCACCTGAAGACGGTTGCGAGACCAGACCAGAAACACGTGTCGTGAAATTATGTAAAACAAAGTATATTTTTTCTCAATAAATCCACATTACAACCAAAAACGTTTGCGGCACCCCTCTTCTTTTTAATAATATATATATATATATATATATATATATATATATATATATATATATATATATATATGTGTGTGTGTGTGTGTGTGTGTGTGTGTGTGCGCAAAGTTGTTAAAATCGTGTAACAGCATGGGATAATTGTCCACCCCATAAAATGTTTAATATCTAAAAAACCGCGAAACTAATTGAGTTTCTTTTTTTTTCCGGGTTTTTCAGATAAAACGTTTAAGCATCTTGACAACATTTGTCGTAAGAATCAGCCTTTCAGTTATTGGGCTAGAAAGCGAACAGGTGAAGATAATTTTGTGTCAGGCCCACTATGTCTTCCCACAGGATTAAGGGTGAGACGAAAAAGATTATTAAGGCCTTCAGTAATGGTACCAACATTCATACTTTTGCTTCCATCTTCAAAGCCCATTCAAGAACGATCAAGAGTACTGTGAATGTTTTAAAAAAGAGCGAGCAGTAGAGAGGAAAACTGGATCAGGAGGTGACAACAGCAAGGGGGATCCCCGTTTCAAGTTAGAGCTAAATACATTCTCTTTGTTCAAAGTAGAGTCCAATAGTGTTATAAAAAAAATTCCCCGGAGAATTCCAGTAAGATATCTTTAATCATTTCTAAGATACACCGCTTCAAAGCTTAATCTAACAATTGGACAATTTTGCTGTTACACGTGTTGGACAATTTTGCTGTTACACCCGGTATGTATATATATATATATATATATATATATATATATAGATAGATAGATAGATAGAGAGAGAGAGAGAGAGAGAGAGAGAGACAAAGAAAGCGGGAGAGACATAGAGTAAATATTTATATCTACACTCAAATCGTTATTACTTCCCTTCACTCAGAACATGATATCTCTTCTTTACATATTAGCAATTTTCCTGGCCTCATAGCTAAATTCTATCAAGAATTTTGCTGTGATGAGTAAAAAAAAAACAAAAAAAAC